TGCAATGAAAAATGATAATATGGATATACAAACATATTGATAGTGATTGTTTTGAATTATATGATTTATGGCCATGAGCTTGTTTGGTGATGAAATGAAATGGTATGAATGATTGAAGTTCAATAAATGATATTGTGATTATTAATATCTTAATGAGTATTGATTATAGCATGTGAATTAATGAGTTTATATACAAAGAATGTGAATATGTGATAAAGTGATTAAATATTTATGGCATGATGCAAAGAATTAAGTTGAATACATGACTTGATAGGGTAATCTCATGCTTGATCAAAGTTGTTAAAGTATATGATGTTGATATGTCATTAAGCATGAGTTTATGATATTGGCATGAAGCTTAAGTAGTGGTTATTCATGCATGGCTAGATAATGCACTTGACTATGAGATAAATTAATTAAATTTGCGTGCATGTTATGTCATAGAGTAACGTGAGCATATTACATAATCATGGATAGGTGGGAGTTCATATAAAAGAGTAGGGTGATAAGGAAATCTATGTGATACTCCCTAGTATCATGAGGCCATAATGTTTTGGTCCTTTATTATTACCTTAAATTAGGTGTTACCTTAGACTAGGTATTGCCCTGGATTGGGCAGGATGACACCCCATGAGTTTAGAACAAGAGAATCTATGGTTCGAGAATGAGTATGGGACCTTGACTGGGTCACCTTTTATAATTAGAGAGTGGGCCCAATTTGGTCAAAGATATAAGGATGGGGTGCATATGATCATGCATAATTTATATTGCATTATATGCCTTTTGGTTAATGATCATTAGTCTTATGATACATGTTGAATACAGAAAGGTTTTTATTGGCAAATTCCTTGCTTGATGTGCTTGTATTTGTCATATTTTTATATACTTGAATTTATGTACTTTAGTTATTGAGATTGTATAATCTCACTCCCGTTTGTTAACATTTTTGTTACGGGATAATAAGGCGAAAGGAGAAGGGAAATACTTTAAGGTTAATGACTAGAACTTGTTATTGTAAAGTCTCTAGTCTCTTGGTAGTGTAATTGGATGCATAATTTGCTAACTTGGAGATTGATTGTAACATGCTAACTAATTTGACATTTGCTTGTGACTTTTATTGTTTACACTTAGGCATTTTGTTGTGTGGTCTTCATGTTTTGGAAAGGGCCGATGTTGCAATGTCTTTTGATTATTATCAATATATATAAACAAATAATGTGATCTATACATGATTGTAGTTTATGCATGTGGAGTGTGAATAAAATTTAGATCAAGAGAGGAGACACTTCAGTGGTGTTTGTGGTATTAAAAGCTTGCCTCAGCACTAGTATTCTAGAATTCTCCTTTGGTATTAGAATGGGATAAACCCAAAGCCATTAGATAAATCTCTTAATTATTTACATGTAGATAATTGTATCACCTTAATTAAAGGTTGGAATTATAAAATAGGTACCTCAGAAGTCAATAGTTAAGGCTGTTCGATATATGTTGTGAATGTACATGTGCTAGGGTGGATGCTACACATGAATTGGTCGCTATATTGAATTAGTAGTTGGCCACGGTGGGTGACCTATTTGCCACTTGTCGTGGTGGACGTGCAATAGGTTGTGATGAACATGTCAATTTCGCTATCTATTTTGCCCTTGTTTGAACTAGGTTTAAATGCTCAACTTTTTTTTCATGTTTTTGCAAACTTCTACACTATGATTTTAAGTATTTTTCAAGTGTTTATACATCATAAATCTTCTTCAAATAATTTTAGGATTCTATCATTCCTAATACTTTTGAAGTCAATTGAGAAAATAACTTTAATCAAGGTTGATCCTTAGTTTAAGTGATTGGTTTAATTATGTGAGTTTATGATTGGTTAATGACAAAGGTCATTACATGAATCATAATCAGTTAACTTACTTGGTCTGAGTGTAAACTTTATAGTTCAGATCCATCAAATACACCGTGAGTTCGAGATATAAGGCAGATTAGGGACTAAGGATGACTGGTTGAAGTAGGGGCAGGTGACACGACGAGAGAGGGAGATAGACCATGTGGTGCAATGAAGCAGGGAGATAAGGAAGATAGACATTGTGAGTTCCAGTCTTCCAGATTTGTCGGAGACACTATGAGTTGAAGTAGTAATAGGTGGCGCAATAAGGGAGAGGAGATGAGAAGATGCAAAAGGCAATACTGCAATGAATTAGATGGGAGAGGGTAGGATGATGCAAAAAGAAGTCATGAGGGCAAGAAAAGTATTGATAGGAAGAATGAGAAAAATAAGAGAGGCAAATTTGAATAGCCTACTATGATTGCAGGCCAATGAAACCCTAACCTTACACACCACACATAGGAAAAAAAATTAAAATCCAATTCACAAATCACAATTCCCTCAACTCACAGTCAATAAGAAAGGGGTTCAAGATTGTGAAGGAAAAGTGCATTGTAGATGGTTTATGAAATTTTGGTAAAATATTGATATTGATATTGATAATTTATGGTAGCTAAGTTGAATAAATCCCCTTAAAGGTCTCACCAAGCACCATCAATATTATAGATTTAATCAAACATTGTCATGTAGGTATAAAATATAGAGAAAATATATCAACATAGAAATCTACCTTTTATTGTACCTTATAACTTAATCTAGTGGTTGATGTGATTATAGAAAAATAGTTGAAATGCATTTCCATATATATGCCATTTAACTCACCTTTTCATTTGTGTCTAATCAAACATTAATTTTTAAGTATGGATGAAATTATACAACTGTGGTATGAATAATTTCTAAGTAAGAGAATTCGAGACACTTATAAAATTTCTATAAAAAATTAACACCTTTTAAATAATGTCAGATGTCTAAACCTTACTTTATTATAATCTAGTCTTACAAGAATTTGGTATGGTTATTAAAGTTAAAAATATTCAAAATAATTATTTCTTTAAAAACTAAAATATACGTAACTATTTTGAGCTTCAGATGGCTTGCATATCATTGCTTGACTTTTAACTGATTAAAATTAATGCCTTAGGTTACATGTTGACCATCTGCTCTCTTCCCTGTTAAATTTTACTATTTATATCATTTCACCTTTTTATTAAATTAAATAATATGTCATATCACTCAAACAAAAAGCACTTGGCATTGACATGACATTTTAAATATTTTAACTATTGTATTAAGATTTTTAAAAAATACTAAGAGTTTTTTGTGATTTCATTAAGATAAGGAAAAAGTTAAAAAAAATATTTAAGGAGAGAAAATAAAATAAAAATTTTTAAAAATATTAATTTTTTTATTATTTTTAAGAATTTTTTTAATTTTATTTCCTTCATATTTTTCTCTTCAATCAAACGAAATATAAAAGTTCTATTTTATTATGACAAAACAATCTCCTGCTATTTTTTAGATATTAATAAAATAATTAAAATTTCATGTTAATTGCAAGTATCGTTTGTTAGAGTGATATGATATATGTTCAATTAGAAAAAGCGAGATGGCAAAATTGTTAAATTTAATGGCAGGAGATTCAATAGTTAAAACTTAAAAAAAATGATAGAAAAATTCATTTAAATTATGTAAATAATAGATTAGTTTTACAAAATAGCATAATTTTTTTGAAGTCCCATAAAATTGTTCTGTTATTAGAAAATTAAAAAAAAAGACCAAATTATTATCAAATAAAATAAAAATCTCAAGCCTTAATGTAGAGCCATTTTTGTGAGTTATTGCCTCTACTTCTTCTTAGTGTTCTCCTCCTCTTCTGTTCTTCGTGTTCTTCTTCTGGTCCATCTCTTTCTCCTTCTCCATCTCCTTCTCCTTCTTCTCCATCTCCTTCTTGTCTGTTTTATTTCTTTTTAAGTTTCTATACGTGGGTTCCTCTGTTAGTTGTGTTGTAATGAGTAAGTTTCTTTTTTTCCTTGAAAATTTCTCCTCTCATTCGTGATAGTTGAAGTTAATATGAGTTAATGTGCAGAAATAATTGAGGTTTTCATTTTCTCTGCTATATGTGGATATGGATCCTTACTCATGACTAAATGATAAATAATATATCATTTTCAGTTGTATTATAAATACATAAACCAAAGTTGTGAATGATCAATACAAAGTTATGAATATAAGAAGAACGTTTAAAAAAATCTTAGATAGTTGTCATTTTTTTAAGATTTTCTTATCATTTAAATTAATGAAACTTGTTATTTATTGGATTAAAGTGGTAATTCATTTTTATTGATTTATTCAATTTACAAAGAATACTGATAAATTATAATTTCTTGTTGCATTATTACGAATCTAGGGATAAAAGTTATTAATATAGGAACAAAAATTGTGAATGAAAAGTCGCAAATTTTCAACACCTGATATATATCAAAATCTACATATGCAGAGTTGTGAATGATTATTGAATTGTTGCGAATTTAGAAACAAAAGTTGTTAATATAGGAATAAAAGTTATGAATTTTTAATACTTGATGTATATCAGAACTTGTAGATATGAAATTACAAATGACTATTGAATTGTTGCAAATTTAAAAATAAAAATTGTTAATATAGGAACAAAGTTGTGAATGAAAAATTATAAATTTTCAACATTTAATATATATTAGGGCTTATAAATCAAAACTTACGAATAGTTATTAAATTATTGTAAATTTAAAAATAAAAGTTGTGAAAGAAAAGTTGTGAATTTTTTTAAATTTAAATAAAGGGCAAATGTGTCATTTTTATAATTTTCTAATGATAAAAACATTCTTAAAACTCGTGAAAAATTATACCATTTTATAAGATCAATATATCATTTAAATAATTTAAAAAATTTTATTGTTATTTTTTTAAAAACTTAAAATATAAAATTTCAGGATCTTAATTTTAAAAAATGTGATGATACACAATGCATCTATATTTTTTTTTAAAAAAATGATTGTAATTTGCCAGCAAACCATTATGTGTTGACGTGTAGCCGTAGGCTAGTTTAGTTGCTTTTTCCATCTGCTCGTGCTTGGTGTGACGATGGCCAAGGAAGCTCCATCTTCAGGCAGATTGAAGAAGAGTTGCTGATCTGCAATGCATTTAATCTTCACAATTCTTAATTAGCAGAGCCACGCAAATTACCACCACCTTCATCAACGAATTTTTTTGAGTCCCGAGGTTCGCTCAATACAACAAAGACCTACCATCTTAAGCTTTTCATCGAGTGTTCGGATTTGAGTGATACTGATCAGTCTTGCGATTGTTGAACTTGAATTAAGTATTTGAACTTTTGGATTTACCCCATTCTGCCAATTGCCTCGCTTTGACTCATTGGAATCTTATATACTATGCCTCACCCCTCGAAGTTCTGGAATCGGGATCCGCCAGGGTTTTGATCAACTTCGTGTTACTGCTTGTCATCGAAGAACTGGTAACCGTAAATGCTGGGGTCACGTGACTCACGTGCGCATATCCTAGGTTCTCTTTCGTGACCACAACTTCTCTTCGTACTCGGGTCTCATTCCCAATATCAAGTCTCACCTCACCCCACAACTATCCTTAGGACCAGAGCCAATATTTTTCCCCCCTGTTTTGTTTGGATGCTAAGCTTCAAGAGGGGCTGAGTTTTGATGGCACTGAGCGCTTCTTCATTGGTAAGAATTAGTCCCATTTCATATCATGGCAAATCATTCTGTACAAGATTTGCTTGTAAGTCCTCTGGGCTTTCACTCCGAGCTTCTGCGAATCCAAACCCCAAAGCTCGTTTTGTTGCTCGGCGGAAGGAGTCGGTTACTGTTCAGCAACTCGAACGTCCCCTAGGTAATGTTAAGAGAGATTTAATAACCCCTCGTCCCGTTTGGATTTGGATGTGTATTTAATTCGGAATTTGAAATTGTTTTTGTTGGTTTCAGTTGAATATATGCGGTTGCCTGCCAGTCAATATTCTGTTCTGGATGCTGAGAGGATTGAGAGAGTGAATGACAACACTTTTAGGTGTTATGTGTATAAATTAAGTTCTTCTCCTTTGAGGTTTGTCCAGTTTTGCTGGTTAGGGTGGAAGAGCAACCCGACGGGTGTTGCATTAAACTCCTGTCCTGCAAGGTACGACATTTTTTCCCCTCAGCTCTCTCTTTCCCCCTGACTTTACTGTTGACTTGGTAGTGTTTTTTTCTTCTTTTTTGGGCGTATGAATTTCTAGTGGATTTATTTCGTCTGATTTTTTCTTCGTTTGATGTTGGGTGACAGCTTGAGGGTTCGCCAATTGTTGCTGCTCAGAATGACAAGTTTGATGGTAAGGAGCAATGGCTAAATATTTTATTATAGAAATGTGAACTCGTTTTATCTTATAAGCTTTGTTACAGCATTGCATAAATACAAAATTGTGTTGATCCTTTTATGTGCAAATTGTAGCATAAAACATGAACTTTTCAACAACATCCACGTTGCCAATTCTAAGCTTTGACTTTCATTCAAAGTGCAACAATAACAAGTCTTTATCCTACTAGGTGGGGTCTGCTACATGAATTACAAGACGCCATTGTGTTCTATCATTTATCAAGCTTTTAGGAATATTATTAATTAACAAATCGTGTTCAATAACTTCCAAGAGTGTTCTCTTAGGTGTTCCTCTACCTCTCTTAATCGGACTCAAAGTTATATGTTCCACTCTTCTCACTGGTGCCTCTTTTAGTTTTCTTTGTACATGCCCAAACCATTTCAACCAATTTTCTACCATTTTTTTCTTCAATAGGTGCCACCCTCACTTTTTCGCGTACGTACTTATTTTAAATTTATCTTTACGTGTATGTCCGCACATCTATTGTAACATTCTCATCTCTGCTACTCCAACTTTATGCTCTTGCTGTCCTGTTAGAGCCCAATATTCACTACTATATAACATTGCCAGATAAAACTTTCCTTTAAGTTTATTAGGCACCTTATGGTCGCAAATAATTCCTTTAGCTTTTCTCCAATTAAACCACCCAACTTGAATTTTATGTGAAATATCTTCACTGATTTTGCCATCATTTTAAATAATGGCTCCCAAATATCTTAATTTTTTCACTCGAGGTATAATTTGATCTCCTAATTTCACTTTCAAATTATTGCGAATAGTCCTTTACTAAATTTACAATATAAATATTTCGTCTTACTTCTACTCAGACGAAAATCTTTCGACTCCAATGTCCTCCTCCATAACTCAAGCTTGAAATTAACCTCTTCTCTTGTCTTCGCTATAAGAACTATATCATCTGCGAAGAGCATACATTTCAAAATTTCCCCTTGAATATGTTCCCTCAAAACATTTAAGATCAAGTTGAACAAATAAGGACTCAGAGATTATCCTTGATGTAGTCCAATCTTTATAAGAAAATCCTTTGTTTGACCACTAGGCATTTTTATACTAGTTTTTACCCCCTCATACATATCTTGTATGGCTTTAAAATATAAGCAATCCGTACTTTTTTTTTTCTAACGCTTTCCAAAGCACTTCTCTTGTTATACGATCATAAGCTTTTTCCAAATCAATAAAAATCATGTGTAGATCTTTATCTTTACAACGATACTTTTCCATTAATCCCCTTAATAGATAAATCACCTCTGTAGTTGATCTACCTGGCATAAAACCAAACTGATTCTCAAAAATACTTGTCTCCAATCTCAACCTGTGCTCAATTACTTTCTCCCACAATTTTATTGTGTGGCTCATGAGTTTAATCCATCTATAGTTAGTACAATTCTGAATATCTCCTTTATTTTTATAATAGGAATTAATGTACTTCTCCACTCATCAGGCATTTTTTTGGACCGTAAAATCACATTAAATAACTTAGTTAACCATCTCACCCCTTCTTCACCTAAACATTTTCACGTTTCGATAGATATACAATCAGGTCCGTTGGCTCTACCATTTGTCATTTTCTTAAGAGCTTCCTTTACCTCCTTATCACGTATTATTCGATAGAATGACAAATTTTATTCTCCTTCACCAGTTACTAAATCCTTCAAGTTACTAGATGAACCCTCTCCATCATTAAAAAGTTTAAAAAAGTAAATCTCCCATCTATTTTTAATTTTATCATTTGTAACTAAAGTTCTTCCCTCTTCATCCTTAATACACCTTACCTGTTCTAGATCTCTTGATTTTCTTTCCCTATTCTTGGTAATCTTATAAATATTTTGCTCTCCTTCGTCTCAAGGCTTTTATAAAATTCTTCAAAAACTTTAGAACGAGCTTCACCCACAACTCTCTTAGTTTCCTTCTTCGTTTCATTCGAAGTACACTTGTGATATTTCTTAATGAATTAGACCAGACTAGCCAAAAATGAGTAGACCAAGCCAATTTTGAATAGACTTGGTCTTGGTCCCAACTTTGACATATTTTATCATGGTAAGATTGGTCTACCTTTACTTTGTAGCTTGGATCTCCTTGGCAGCACAGCAATTGCAATAGCTGGATGGTTGTATATAGTACATACTACTACCCCTATCCCAATTTATAAGACTCTTTTGGGAGAGATTTGGTGTTCCAAAATATAAGATGCTTTGACAAAAATAAGGTTTTATTAATGATGTTTTTCTTATATTACCCTTTCCATTATATTCTATTTTTAATATTCTTTTATAAATGGAGTATTAAATGAAGGGTATTTTTTAAAGTTTATATTTTGTTTTGAAAAAAAAAAGGTTGTAAAATGTATTTAATGAGTTTTATTAGTATGTGTGATTTTATTTGAAATTGTTTTATAAATTGAGACGGGGAGAGTATTTCTTACTAATAAAGAATTTTGAAAGTCAGTCTACATTACATAACGTGTAAAGTTAGATGAGGAACTGTTGGCATTGCGTATGAAAATTAGGCCATCTTGGACTTTGCCCTGCAATTTGCCCAATTCAAACCAGTGACTGGAACTGCAACTACTGTGCCAAAACAAGAATTTGGGATGTCCAATTGCATTTGAAGATAAGAAACTGTCGGGGATGAAAGTTAGGCCAAATGAGTTTGGCCTGCATTCTGCTCCAAGCAAATCAGTAACTAGAATTAAAAGGTTAATGATATCACGGCACTCTTGTCTTTATTGGGAAAGTTGTTGCTCCTATAATTTTGTGCTGTAAACTTCTAAATCTCTAGAATTTTACTGGTATAATGCAATAAATAACTTTTTAGTGTAGGACAAGTGGCATAAGGCTATAGTAAGTTTAATCGTGTGGGATCATTAAGGTTTGCTATGGATTTGCAAGACTAAGTTTTTTCCAAAATATCCTATTCTTGTGCTGATGCTACTTTCAGGAATGCTTTAACGATACTTTAATATGGTAACACAGCTTTGATGGTGAACCGGATATCATGTGATAGCAATAGTAATAATGCCTTGGTGCAGCAGTTCTCTTCAGACACTATAATTGAGGTAGTAAATTTGGTTTTATATCAATTTTATGTGATTGCGTAACTATGGACCACAGTTTAAAGTTATCTTTGGATCAATATGTGGTTTCCAGGTAACCGTTGAAATTCCTTTTGCATTCCAATTAATACCGAAGGAAGCAATTGAATCAGCTGGGACTCAAGTTCTTGAACAAATACTAAGAGTTATGCTTCCCCGTTTTATGGCACAGGTTTGTGGACGACTGATGTAATAACAAGTTTCATTTAAAGTGCAAGTTTCCTTATTTCAGTTTATTGGTCAAATCATATGATGATGATAAGATAACAATTGTCGATGAAGATTACTAGCCTTTTGAGATTCAGTCTACTGTTAAAAGATCCTAGAAAATTTTCGTTGGAACTTTTAGAATGGCCTATTGTCTGTTGTATTTAGGGTCTGAACTAGATGAATTTTATGTATGGTAGTGATAATTTTTCATTGGCAGTCTGTGTGCTCAAATATCAATCGTTATAGTCTTTGCTTATGTATGACTGTTCATGTAATGGATATTGAATTTGAATTCTTGTGAGATAACCTATCAAAGTGTATTCTGTTGTTTATTTCTAAATGTCTGTTAACTTTGGCCTTTGTTCAATGCATTACCTCTTGTCTGAGAAAGCTTAGCGGACTGATGAATGATAGCAGCTTAATGTTTCTGACTTTTGTCTTTTGTTCAATGCATTGCATCCTCATCGTCTGAGCTGCTTGGTGGAATGATATTATGACAAACTTAGATGAAATTTTCAATTGGTTGAATATTTTTTTGTAGAACTTCAATTCTGTTTTCTGGAATTGTGACAAAAGTGGCTGAGGCATCGTGGTATAAGTAATTTGGTGTTATTTGAAAAAACCCAAAATAGTTCTGGATGAACAAACTTATCACCTGTTATTATTTATTGGCCTGTAAATAATTATTTGTTCTTAGTATATTATTTTGTAATTGATGCAATAAAATGTTACGGGGTGGTTAAGTGGTAATTGAAAACAAGTGGTAAATGACACAATTTAAAATTTAAGCACTTGGGGCAAATTTATTTTCAGACAAACAACAGGATCATAATTTATAACAAAATATTGTATTTAAAATCCCATGAAACTTCAAATTTATTCTTTTCTATGTAATTTATTAACTTATTCCTGTATTGAGGATCTTACAATTGCAATTTCGAGATTGACTTGTGGAAGGATCATCTGAAGAGCATCATGGTTCAATAGACACATAATCTAGTTCTGACTTGAGATAATAATCATTGACTTATCGTGTAATTTGATATATTTACTGAATCTCTTTTGCATTAGCAGCTTGTGAAAGATTACCAAGCCTGGGCTTCAGGAGATACCTCGAGGCAGCCCTTAGGGACAGGTGAGATTTGAAGACCAGGATCATATGGTAGTGATTGCCAAAGATGGTGATATCAAATTGTGCCTGTTTTGAGGTTGTGGAAATGCTGCCTCATTTTATGTACATAACTTCCTTTTGGTTTGAAAATTAAGGATAAAAAGGGTTCTTTTTCCTTTTGTATGCTTGGGAGGGCATCAAGAAAAGTTATGGGCAGTTATGATACAGCAATTGATAGAATTGTAAAGGAAAATGAATGGTGCCAATGTGCTCAGCAGCACGAAGAAAGAAAAATACCAGCAGATGCTTCATGTTGACAGTCTATGTATACCAACTTTATAATTACGACTCCTTCCAATCCAAAATATAGGTCATTTTCTAGAAACCCTGCATGATCTAAAATTTAAGTCATTGGGTTGTTCTTATAATTGTTTTTCCAAGTACATCTTTACTTCATTTATTTATTTATTTTTTGAAAAAATGGTCAATTAGAATTTCAATTGTCATTTAAGTCATTGGGTTGTTCTTATAATTGTTTTTCCAAGTACATCTTTACTTCATTCATTCATTTATTTTTTGAAAAATGGTCAATTAGAATTTCAATTGTCATTTAAGCCACTTGTATGGAGTATTTAATAAAAATCTAGTTGAAAATCCGTTAAGATTTCAACTATTTTTTTTTTAAATGTGAAGTAGTTACCAATGATATATATTATGGACCAGGGGGAGTACATGCTTGCATCTTCCAATTACAAATACCAAGTTATTAAGCTCACTATCATTCCAAGTTGGCCTATTACAAACTTTAGTTGAGTTATGTATGCCCCCTCGAAAAGAGATTAACAAATAAGAATGTGACTTCGCTTTATTTTTACGCTCATTCGCTTTCATGAATAGAAAAGATTTAAGTCAACTCTAAACTACTAACATATTTGATACTTGATGAATTGCATTACATCAAATAAATACATAAAACTAAGACAGGTTAAACCACTTTTTCACATCAAAACAACTTTCAAATTGTCTTCTTCCTTTTGTTTCTTCATTGCTATCACCTGAAAAGTTGGTTAGTAGAAAATAAATAATGAGATATGAAATCCCAATAGCTTTAAGCACAACTTGTAATCTTCTTTGTCAATCAGTCCCTCTTTTGCTTTAAGCTTCTAAGGAGAACCACACTAAGTTTTCCTCTCCAACAACAATCTGAGCACAAGCAGCATTAAGTATTAAAACTATTTAATTTAGTGGCTCTAGGACACACACACACACACACACACAAAAAGCCAATGACCAATGTTCATTCATATTGAATAATAGTATTGTATTTTATGTCTAAGGTTGCCAACTTCAAAGGATCTAAATTACAATAAGGAGCGAGACAAAACATTAATCAGCATGGAAGCAAAAGAATATCTTTCAAAATCAAACAGGTAAGAAAATTTTACCCACCTCAGGAACTGGGGCATTGTACATGTCACTTTCACTAGGTACTTCAGCTGTCAAGAAATTTGTACAACGTTTGTAACTTTTTTCTAAGGCAGCATTGGCAAGTTCCTTCATTTTCAAATGGGCTCTTGTTCTGCTGAGTTCATCTTCAAGATATGAGCAAAATTCCTTCCAGCTTTCAAGCTGAAAGTCTAGCTCCAAACAATGCATGTTTCCAACATCTCGGACTGTGTAAGCAAGGTAAACATCGGAAACTTCTTTTACAGGATATTCATGCTCATCTCTTCTTCAACCTTGCATGTTCACTAGGATTCTTGCAAGTCCTTGCTTCAAGCTCTTGCATGATCTGTTTTAAAGTTCTGATTTCTTGTTCAAAAGCATCAATACCTTCATATAGCTTCTTTTCAATGGTGATAATCTCTTGTTCTTTCTCAAATAGCTTATGCTTCCATTTCGCTTCATTTTCCTCTAAAATTTTGGACATCAAACCTCTTTCCTTAAGCATCTCTTCATCTTTTTCTGCTAGACTTTTCTCCAGAAATCTGACGGTACTTTCCATGTTCTTTATTTTCTCTTGCAGCTCTAAGCTCCAGAATTCCTTTAGTTCAATACCTTCATAGAGGCACTTTATTGGAAATTTAGAACTAGACATATCAAGATCTGAATCAGAAGAATCCATCCTCATTTTTCCTGGTAAAACTGGCTTCTTCAAATGAAAGTCATATTCCTCACTGTCATCATGCCCATGGCTATAATCTGTTCCATCTTGAAATTGAAACTTAGTCATTGACAGATCAATAATCTCCATTTTTTGCTTTTCTATTGTCTTTTCTAGCTCCTGAAGAATAGAGACAAGATCAATGTTGGACTTTAGTGCTTTCTTGAGCTGCAATTCAAAGTCGTTGTTTAGTCCTTTATGATACTCTATCTCATCTTTCAACTCCTTTATGATTTTCCCCATCTCTTCAGCCTGAAACTTCAAGTTTTCACTGTCATTCTGTTTTGCCATTGATGATTCCTCCACCATAGTTTTTAGTTCTTCAATTTCCTCCTTCAACCCATAACATCCTTTCTGCAATGCTGATAACTCCATTTCAAGCTCTTTCTCCTTGTCTGAATTGCTGCACAAGTCTTTCTGCAATCTTCCACATCATTTAACAACTTCCTAGCATTTGTCTCCCACATTTTGGCTTCTGCATTAAGTAAATTGATTGTGACCTCAGCAGCATCCAAAAGATCTGTAGATGATCCAAGACTTTTCGCCAATGTTGCATGCTGGCGGTGTGAAACTTGCTGCCCAAAGTCGTTGATTTGTTCTTGAAGTTTCATGTCTGAATTGATGGCTCCTGATGCTGAGTAGTTGCCATTATTAGAGTGATTTTCTTGTTGGTTTCCTGATGAAGAAGAACCTGATGCAAGTAGACTTGTTTCCTGTAACAACGGCAAAAATGCATTTTAGCCTCCTGACAAAAATTATGAGAACTGACCCTCTGAAGTTATAGTCGGTGGTGTTGATTTTAGAGTGGTAGTACAATACTAGGAATCTTTGTTGAACATTGAAAACACTGATTCTCAACTTCAGAGGATCTACATCGAAAATTATTCATTTTGAAATAAACCTTGTCCCAAGAGGCAAGAGGACAGGAATAATAGTTCAGAAGAAAAAGCAGATTCTAAAGTAATATATATATATCTTACATACAATACAATCATCTATAAAGTTCATTTTCTATGCTTTTCCTGTCTGGATTTTACTAAATAAGAACTACAATTTTTTCAGAACAGAAGTAAATTTACAGAGAAGAGTGGAGTAGCAAAATATATAGTTTCAGTAAAAAAGAAAGATTTTCATACATTACTGCAAAGTTCTGCAGGATGACTTGTGTTGTGCAATTGGTTACAATGTGACGGTCTAACATTATTGTTGAATGCGGTACTATCAGATGCATCTGATTTATCGTCTAGATCATCATAGTCAACATTCATTTCCTCCACATATGAATTTTCGTCGTCCAAATGCTCTTCTCTGAAAAATTAGGGTAACATGTCATTGTCTTTAACTTATTATCATAACATAAGCATACAGAAGGTTCATTGAGTTAAAGGTTTTGACTAAAATCCAATTTTGGTCATCCAACGATGTCTTTATCGATTCGACACAATGATCTTCTGTATGACTTTAGTATCTGGGACTGGAAGTATATTTATGTTTCAGCTCAGAATACTTGATTCTCAAAAAGGAGATCAGATATTCAAGGGAAAATAAAATTTAAAGAACCCCAAGAACATTAATTACATTTAAGGACCTTGAAATTTTGAAATTTCAGGTACGGGTCATGGTCATTGCTGGAATTAATTTTTTTTTGGGTTAATTGTTTCAACCATATTTTCAATAGTCATGTTTTAAATTTTCAGTACTTACTACTTACTCAGTTTTTCAATTTTTTCAATACTTGTCCAATTATCTTTTATGTTTTCAATACTGAAAATAAGTGTTGAATATATAAAAGATGAGTACTGAAAATATCTAAAAATGGCTTTTGAAAATTGAAGAGTTAAGTACTATAAATGTTAAAGATGAGTACTGAAAATTTAGGATACGAGTACTGAAAATTGGGAGCTAAGTACTGAAAATATGGAATTAATGCTTTTAGAGGGTCCTCAAATGTCATTTTTTCAATTTTCAATACAGAAAAGTCGCAGGTATCAAATTGGTGATCGCATCGTTTCTCAAGGACTTCAATTGTCCAAAGTGTTCACATAAGCTGCAAACCTGATATTTCTTGCTGGTGACAAACACTGAATCTGAACCTGAAAAAATAGAGAGGATTAGTGTTTCTTGTTTTACAATGATAAAGAACTGACTTGTTTGGTATGAATTGAATCATGATACAGGAATTAAATTGACATGTTTAGAACTTATTATATCTGATGGATTCAAATTACTACTTCTGAACAAGTTCTGCACATTTGCTTGTTCAAGTCTTGCACTCTTCTAGATCTGATAAGAGTAGTATTACTTAGATTAACCATATAGGGTAATAATTACTGGAAGTCTTACTTGTAAGATTGTGTCGTGGTAACAATGTTTCAAAGGCAATGATAGAGTGGAAGTTTCTGATTTGATGTAACTTGCCAAATCAATGGTGGCCTCTCCAAGGGTTCCAAACCTCACTGATCCCTATAATACCAATAATGTCAATTTTTAAATCATCAATTAAAAAAATAACGTGTGTGTTATATTGAAGATGAAGAAGAATAAAAAGCAGAGAGAGGCAGACCATGGCGACAACAAGCTTAATGAGATGATTATTAGTGTGTTGAGAAATCCAAATGGAGTGGAAAATAGAGTCTTCCCAATGACACACTCCATTTTGCACTGATGCTTTCCCCAATTTGCTGATTGTTTTTCCCCATTTTCTGCACTTGTTATGTAAATGAATAGCTTGTTCCACCCCAGTGGCACCTGCATACACAAGGCAGAGTAATTTATTATGATAATCAATTTCAATAAATGTCGAAATTGAAAATTCACATATTTTTTAGAAGTATAAGATATCAACTATCAATTACCACTTTTTAAGAATCTTAAATCAGTTAATTTTAT